TTATTATTATTATTATTATTATTATTATTATTATTATTATTATTATTGCCGCCCATTCACCCATGGCGACTCAAGGTGGCTTACAGAATATAAAACCACATTTAAACAATAAAAACTAACAAAAAGAACCAAATAAAATCACCCAACTCCCATCCCCTGCCCCAACGATAGCATATATACTACATGGATGCTAGCATATAATCTGCCTTCCAGACTGAATTTAATCAGCTAGCACATATAATAGCTCTTTGTGCGAAATAAAGCAAAAGCTGCACCCCAAATGCTGCTGCAGATTTAAAAGTAGGCTCCGCCAAGCTCAGAAAAAGAGAATGGTATCTGTTATTAGGAATAATTACTTTAATCCTTTCCACATCTTCACGGTTCCGTTTTATTTATTTATTTATTCAATGTATATGGCACCCCTTTCACTGTTCCACCAACTCCGGGCAGCTTACAATATGATAAAAAGGTGAAAAACATAATACAAAATGATTAAAAGTAAGAAAGATTAAATAAAGACTGAAAACCAAGAGGGACAGGTGACATGGAGGTGGGGATCTCATCTCTATTGAGGTGGCCATCCCCAGTATACAACGCCTGTTATTGGGGGCCCATGTTTTGATCTCTTCTGAAAGGCCAGAGGTGTGTGTGTGTGTGTGTAAAATAAAAGAGATTAGACAGTAATGGTCAGCCCTGTGCTCCACCCTTTACAACAGATATCTTGCACTGATCACCTATTTCTCAAACTTCACTTATTCAAATTTCTACAGGTAAGACATGTTCAACCTCATTTACCAGTAAAGTGCCATGCTCATGTTCCCCACCTTATCCTTGTTTATTGTAAAGAAGCGGTGAACTGATGCATGCTTGCCCTATATCCCTGATTCACGTTCCCTTTTGAACAACTGGATGGGAGGGAGGAAAGCTTTACAATTTGTTATAAAAGCTGCATGATGCAAGACCCACAAACCATTATTTGTATTTATTTGATTTGTCAATCGCTTACAAGATACAGGTATAAGAATAAACATAGTTTTGAACACATGAGATAGATACTTATAAGAAAAATAAAAAGAAACAATAGGACAGGGATGGTAGGCACGTTAGTGCACTTATGCACGCCCCCTACAGGCCTCTTAGGAAGGGGGTGAGGTCAATAGTAGACAGTCTAAGGTTAAAGTTTTGGGGTTTGGGGAAGAAACCACAGAGTCAGGTAGAGTATTCCAGACATTGACCACTCTGTTGCTGAAGTCGTATTTCCTGCAGTCAAGTTTGGTGCGGTTAATCTTGAGTTTGTATCTATTGTGTGCTCTTGTATTGTTATGATTGAAGCTGAAGTATTCATTTGCAGGTAGGACATTGCAATGTATGATTTTATATACTATACTTAGATCGGACCGAAGGCGGCATAGTTCTAGGTTTTCTAGGTCTAGAATTTCAAGTCTGGTGGCATAAGGTATTCTGCAAAGAGTAGAGGAGCGGAGAACTCTTCTTGTGAAATATTTCTGGACTTTTTCAATTGTGTTAATATCAGATACATGATATGGGTTCCAGACTGATGAGCTGTATTCAAGTATAGGTCTAGCAAATGTTTTGTATGCTCTAGTTAGTAGTGTGATATTACCAGAGAAGAAGCTACGTAGGATTAGATTAACAACTCTTAATGCCTTTTTGGCTATGTAGTTACAGTGGGCTCTAGCACTTACATCATTAGAGATAAGTACTCCAAGGTCCTTGACAGAGTTTGGATCCTCAACAAGGTCTTGACAATTTAGCTTGTATTTTATTTTCTGATTTTTTTCTGCCAATATGTAAGACAGAGCATTTATTTGTTGAGATTTGAAGTTGCCATTTGATTGACCATTCTGATACATAGTCAAGGTCTTTTTGGAGGGTAGTAGTATTGTCTGTGGTGTTGAATAGCTTTACATCATCAGTGAAGAGAACGCAGTTGCTCTTAATATGATCACAGAGGTCATTTATGTAGGGTATGAAGAGAGTTGGTCCTAGAACACTGCCTTGGGGGACGCCACTATTGACAGGTGCAGAATTTGATAGGACACTCCCAATTTTGACCATTTGTTGTCTGTTTGACAGGAATGCTTCTATCTAATTATGTAGGTGTCCAGAGATACCATAAGATTTTAGTTTTAGGAGTAGTTCGTCGTGTTGCACTGAATCAAAGGCTTTACAGAAGTCTATGTAGATTGCGTCTATTGCTTTGCCCTGATCGAGTCGTTTAGTCCATATGTTTTTTAAGTGGGGGGAGGAGAGGAGTCCTTGTGGAGTCCTCAGAGAGCACCAAGAATTCCACATCTCAACCCTGAGCTACCAATATTATCTTCTGTTGCATTATCTGATGTTTGGACATGATGAGACAACTTCCTTGTTGGTTTTAGCAGCGGAGTGAAATGAAAGCTCCACCTGCTCCAAATACATAGCAAATTGCACTCTTGGCACAGATTTCTCCGCTGCATGTCATGGCTAGCGGCTACCTTAGAAAGTTACTTTTTCTGCCAATCCTTTGCTGCCAGTTTCCATGACCTGCTTCCCTGGGGCAACTTCATCATTCTGCTTTAGGACATGGCTCACAAAGCTAAACCCAGCAGAATGTAGGTTGCAGCCGGCCGCTCATTATACAACATGTGCATGCAAATGTGCCACCTGCTCTAACACATGCCAGCAAAACATGGACACTAACCTCACCATCGACACAAAAGCTACGAGTGGCACATAAGAGCCATGGAAAGATGCATGCTCAGCATCACAAGACAAGTTAGAAAGACCTGCACATGGATTAGAGAACAAATGAAAATATATGATGTGTTCCATAGAATAAAAGAATGGAAATGGAAATGGGCTGGTCACATAGCAAGAAGAACTGATGGAAGGTAGGTCAAGGCAGTCATAGAACGGATCCTACTTGATAAAAAGTGTCCATGAAAGAGACCTAAAACAAGATGGATTGATGACTTCAGCAAGTATTGAGGGCCCAATTGGCAAAGGAAACCTCAAGACCATATTGGTTGGCAACATGCAGAAGAGGCCTTCATCCTGCAGTGGATAGACAATGGCTAAAGTGATGAAGATGACATTGGTGATGATGGTGATAAAGAAGAACACAAATGACTTCTCTTTTCATGTAGACCACAGATGACTCATTGAACAAACACTACAGTCTCTTATGCCTTTTGTAGTTGACTTCACTCATGGAGGACAGAGAGAGGAGAGCAACAATGATTTCCTGAATCATTTTACCACAGCACTGAAAAATGTGACTTATGACCGATTTTCACAGTCACAACCTTTGCTGCATCCCCACGATCATGTGATCAAATTTCAGCTGCTTGCCAACTGGTTCATACTTATGATTGTTGTTGTGCCCCAAGGTCATGTGATCATCTTTTGCGAACTTCTGACAAGCAAAGTCAATGGTGCAGCCAGATTCTCTTAACAACCGGGTCACTAACTGATCAACTGCAGTGGTTCACTTAACAACGGTAGCAAGAAAGCTTGTAAAATGGGGCAAAAGTCACTTAACAAATATCAGTTGTGGTCATAAGGCGAGGACTACCTGTAGCTCCATATAGAAAGGAGCAAAAGGGAAGGTAGGAAATATAGAAAATCTTCCAGAAAATTATGCTGAACACATCTAATGCACCATTAGTCTAGACCAGGGGTGTCAAATTCGTGTCGTCAGTATCGTAATGTGACATATTGTGACTTTTCTCCCCTTCGCTAAACCGGGTGTGGGTGTGGCCAGCATGTGACGCATATGGCCCATGGGCCGCAAGTTTGACATCCCTGATTTAGACCGATTTTTAAGTATTGTTAACAACTTCAGTATCAGATTGTCATATTTCTCTATAAGAAGTTTAACTTAAAATTCTAAAGTGATCAGGGTCTTAAGGCTACCTTATAAATCTCCCTCTCAAAATTAGGCCAATTAAGTAGCCTAAACAAAATCATTGTTCAAAAATGGGGTGATACAATTCAGTGGTGCAATCTATACACCAATCACCTGAATTCGGTCTCATTCGGGAATTTCAGAGTAAGAGTTTATAATCTGGGGCCATTCGGTACACAGAAATGAGAGACTAAGGCAGTCAAATGAAGAAATTAATTTACATTTAAAGTTTGTTTAGAGTCAAAACAAACTATAAGTGTAAATTAAAATTCTCGAAGGAGTCCTTGGAAATCATTTTTCTACTGTTAAAAAGTATATATTTTGATAATACTGATCACCAGCTGTAATATTTTATTTCTTGGTAGAAAGGTTTAGTCGAGACTAAAGTTAGTTAGTTACTAACACAGTCAAACTGTAGGTATAGTTAATGATAGAGTGTAGTGTGTTTATTGGAGGAAGGTAGAAAATAAATTCACATTAAATTAAGATGAATGCAACTCAAAAAAGTCCTGTCTTTGTATGTTCTCCATCCTCTTCCATCTTTGCAACCGTTTCAAGTTCCCATTCACTAAGCTTCTTTTCTTTTGTTTTTCTACCACATTCAAAGGATCCATGAGTGCCAAGGGTGTGGGAAGCAAAAAGCCCAGAAGACAGCTGTGACCTCATCGTTTCTAAAGAAGTTTCTGCCTTATGGAACCCTCTTTTTCCTGAAGTTCCTCAGGCCTCCACCCTCTTACCCTCCCATAAAGCTTTTCCCGCAAGGGCTGGGAGAAGATTGAATGATTGCACATTAGAAGTTCGACCTGGCACCAAGTCTTTGTTGTTTTTAATGCTGATTTAATAAGATTTCAAATGTTGTTTTAACTTTTGACTGAGATCCACCCATAATTTGTTGGAAGATGGTTAACTATTTAAAAAGCCACCTTTCGCCATGGGCAAATAGGCGGCAATATAAATTAAATAAATAAATAAAATAAATAATAAATGTTTTGAATAAATGAATGAATGTATGAATGGTCAATGCTTCCCAACTCTACAATGCATGTAAAAAATAAGTACTGTACAACTTAAATTGTGCAGCTTTCATCTTGAACTTTTTTTGATTCTACTCCAACCCCATCTCTGCAGTCACCCAGATCTCATTCAAGCATAAGTCCTCAAGTCACTTACCAAACTTATTTTAATGATAATACCTAAAGAATAGTTGCTGTATTTACCTTTGATTAATTTCAAATATTGTTCCCTTGTTTCCAAAAACACTTCTTCAAACTGGGAAAAAGGGAGAAAAAAATTGTTTTAACTTTGTATCACAGGGCACAGAATTTTGAAAACTTGGTTTAAAATACCTTTGGGGCAATGGTGGGATGCTGCCAGTTCAGACCAGTTCTAGCGAACCGGTATCTCCAACAATCAGCTGGCCCGTCCACCCACCCCTGCCCCTTATATTTCCGCTCAGCTGATTAATGCGGCACAGTGGATTCCCACAGTGGATTCCCACCTCTCAGCTGTTTTACTTACCGGGGCTGCCCTAGAAGGTAAGCTGTAGTGCTTTCTCATAGAACCGGTAGTAAAAAAAATTGAATCCCACCACTGCTTTGGAGCCTCCTAATCCCCCAAATGAGAAAAGTTGGCTCAATGGGAGAAAAGTTCAATCTCTCATTTCATTTCTTAACTCCTTCCAAAGCTCCACTCCCTGACCCAAATCAGATTTGGCCTCTGCCTAACCTTGAGTAGGGCTACTAGATCTAAGCTGGTTAGATAAGCGGGGCTTGAGCCTGTTCCAAGAAACTAATTTTAGTCTGAGGCCTTGCCCTAATTCACACAAAGATGAAGTGAGGGGAAAAGAAGCATATTCAGACTTGCAAAATTCAATTACTATACCTATTTACGATGGGGTGTACTTCGGATTCCTAGGAAAGAGGTGGTGTGTTCCAGAGGAACAGGCAACAAGTCAGTTCAGATAGTTTGTGTGAGAGAAAGAGGGTTAACATGGGTCTCTCCCAATAGTTGCAAGGATATATGTTTAAAGGGGGGGGAATATTGGCATGCTTTAGTTTGGCAAGATTCTGTCTATTGGTGAGAAGAAATCTTCTTGGAAGAATCCCAGTATGTCTGTCTTCGATTTTGAACCCTGACACTGTTAGAATGAAAGTAGTCTTGATTTGTGTGGCTTTGGTTCCTTTGTCTGGTCTACCTTACAGGGCTGACAAAAATAGAAGAAACAAACCTCAACTCCAGATGCTGCTAAGACCCAGCGTATAGATTCCATTCGTCCTCTGCCATTGAAATAGGTCAGTTTGGGTTTCTCAGACATATTTTGCAAGTTTTGGTTCTCCTGATAAATTTCAAGGTAGAAAATAAATTTAATATAACCCATTACTGTGTTTATTTCTAATAAATGTATACAACCTTGCAGAAAAATCAAATCATAAGTCTTGTGAGAATTTAGCTGCAGGTAGAGTTAGTCTACCTGGAGAAATGTGAAAATATGGGTGTGGTCTGCGTATAGATTGACAATGCAATTCACATAAGGTGTGTGTGAGAATGGTGTCTGCTCTTGACAATGAAAGAATGCCATTATGTTCTCTCCATAGTGGTGGAAGGCTACAAGGAAATTGGTTTGTTTAATGTGCCTGGGAGTTTGATACAATTCTGATTGAAATGGTTTCAAGGATGAGATGGCAATTAGGAAAGTTTGGAGAAGAAAGGTTTTATGCCTGGAAGTGATGCACAGATCATATTTCTATTCTTCTTCAATGTATAAATCTGAGAAATTTATTGTGCAATTGTTGTTTTAAAGCAAGTACCGATAAAGTGAATAGTCTTGAATTATGCAATATTTTACATCAATGTGCAGCTGAATATTGGTTACTGAGTATTGGTTGATATATAATGGAAAGGCATGCATGAGAATAAAGGGAAGATTTAGCAAATTATGCAACATTAAACTGGGAGTAAGACAGGATATGCTTTGATCCTTTGGTCGTTTGATGTATATATTGCTGCATGCATAAGAACTGATTGAAACAATGTTAGAAATGTGTTGGTTAAAGGTACATACATGTGTATACAGTACTCTTGTATGTGAGTGAAGCAGTTTTAGGCTCAGAATCCAAATGATCTGCCATATTAGATATGTTTCTACAAGAAATATGGATCTGAAAATGTATGTAGCAAATCCCAAGACTGTCATATTGGGCTTTGACAAGAAATGCATCTTGACAAAAAGACAAGAAAAATGGACAAAATGATTGTAAGTTTTACCTAAATGAACAATAAATAAATATATAAAATAAACGAATTGGAATAATTTGGTAGAACATTTACTGCAGACTGAAAATAGATGGAGAAAGTTTAAGATGTGTCAATGGTGACAAAAAGATGGTAGGTAGCATGTGATCTGTGGTGAGAAGCAAAACTTTGTCAAAAGAGATAATAGCTGTGTTGAGGGAACAGAGAGTGGCTGCGTCAGGACAAATAAAACTGAATGCAGTACAAATGGATACTTAATAAATGCATGGTGATGAGTGAATTAAATAAACAAGTGAGTCACAATTATGAAAAATACACTGAGGAACTTTGAGCATAAACTACTTTTAGCTATATTCCCTTTACTTATCTCATGCCTTTAACTGCCTTTGCTTACCACTTATTACTTTTTTTCTATGCTTATAACAGAAGGGATGTGTTGTGGGCCAAGGAGCTTAATTTGGCAAGATCCACGAGGGAAGCCTTTTCGGCCATGGCGCCTGCCCTCTGGAGCATCATTCCCTCCAAGGTAAGATTGCCCGCAATCCTATTGGCCTACTGGGGATATGTGAGAAAGACCTTCACAGACAGGAGGGAGACTGCAGATAGGACAATTGGTGTGTAAAAGATATGTCAGCCACAAAAGGGGTGGGTGGGTTGAATGGGAAACATTTCAAAAGGGGCCCTTCCTAGTTGCCCACAGTGTAAGAAGAAAGGAAGGGAAGAAATATTATCAGTCTCGCGAGATTCTGGTAATATAAGCTTACAATAAAGATAGCGCTAATGCTTCTGGTTTCTCTTCTTGTGTAGACTACCTCATGGCTTAACAGGAAAGCTTTCCTTTCTTCTTACACTCTGGAAAACTAGGAAAGATCCTTTTGAAATGTTTCCCGTTCAGTCCCCCCTTTTGTGGGCTGAGACATCTTTTACACGCCAATTGTCCTATCTGCAGCCTCCCTCCTGTCTGCGAAGGCCATTCCCACATAAAATATGGCATCGTCATTGGGCCTGGGGATTCCCATGGAGGGGTTAAATGGCCATCCTGTGTGAAAGCTCAGAATGTGCTCTCCTGTATTTGTTGCTGTTGTTATTATAGTTTTAATTGCTTTGATTGCATTTTAATGCTTTCATTTTTTAATTATATAGATTGTTTGGGAGTGTTTGTTTTTTTGTTGTTCTTTTTGCGCTACCTTGAGTCACAACCCGTATTAGGAAGCGAGGCTAGATGAATGTTGAAAATGGACACTAGAGGGAACCAAAGACAGAAAAGAGTTTAAAGCTGGTATAAAACTTTTTTTTTTTTTTTGCTTTAAAGAAAGGTTTTTTAAAAAGTGAACTGAAATATTAATTAACTAAAATTTCAGAAAGCATAGAGATTTCAGTGGATAAATTTGAAAGACCCCTCTTAAATGCCAAAGATTCATGGAAGATCAAATACAGAGATGCCATTGGAATAATTTAAATGTCAAAAATTTTCTGTTTTTTGATATTTCTTAGATGAAGAAAAGCCAAAAAGGAATTAATATAAAGTTGCAGTATTTGATCAACAATAAGTTTGATACTTCTAGCAATTCCCAATGAAGTTTTTGCTGAAACAGGATTGAAAAGAGGTCAATTTCTGAGCTTAGACAAAAAGTTAAGACTCTGGGGAGAAAAGTATTTTTATGTGTAACTCTTAAAAACTGTGCTTATGCTCATTGTGATGAAGGCAAGGAGTCACTTATTTCTTACTGTCTTTGTTCCTTTTTTCTCCACTTTTTTTCTTTCCTAATTGTTTTCCTTTTTTTCTACAGCTTCCGATTTTTTTTCTTTTTCCTTCTAGTTTAGGTTGTATTAGTTTTTACTACAGAGATTAAAAATTTCAATAAAAGTGTTAAAAAAGAAAATTAACAAACAAACACTGGATTAGGCATTGCTAAATGGACTGCTTTCACTCATTCCTAAAACATTTTCAAGTACCTTATTCCACGAACAATTTTTTTCTGTATAATAGAAACTCACCTTTAATGAAGTTTCTTTTCTCTACAAAAAAAAAATACTGCACTTCACACTGTGCAGAAAACCTACCTTCTTTCTTTTCACTTCTACTCCAACTGGGAGAAAATGTTGTTGCTGCTGCAATTCAAAACAAAGAAGACAGTTTTAATTCTTGCCTAATCATTTTGCAATAAAAGTTGTTCTGCTTACAACTAATGCAACTTCAGTCTCTCTTTATTTTTTTCTTCCTTTTCCTTCCTTCATTATCCTTTATCCTATCTAATCTACTGCTTGAATAACTGATTCTGTAATTTCTCTTTCTCCTATTGAAGATCTGCAAATAGCTAAACAAATAAGCTAAAGTATTTCTGTACTGCCTTTAGGCAATTAAATGTTTCTTTCCATTGTAATCCCATTATGCCTCCAATAGCTCATATACAAGATCTGAAAGTTGTAAAGGTAATTCCATACCAAAATGTCAATACTAACCGCAAAGCCTGATCTTATTTGTACCTCCACCAAGAAATCATTCGAAGGAATGAAGCTCCGACTACTGGGCATATATATAGTCTGATTCTCCTGTCAGAAGGAGGCGTTCCCACTGAACTATCTGTTTATCACAATATAGATTGAACCTGGGAGCAAAGTATGTTGGATTAGGAGCAATTACAAAATGAATGGATTGACTCCTTCATTGTGAACAGTGCCTAGAATTGTCTACTGTTATTGATGCTACAGGATTACACTGTTTGGGCAACACAGTATTTAAAATCTCTAAACAACCTGGAAGAAATAAAATGGAGCAAATTAAATACACTATAAACACAACTACTAGAATATAAATGGTTTTTGAATATAGTTAAAACTATCCCATCTAATTCTAAAACTATTTTGTAAACAGAATATTAAATTGCTAAATTATGAAACGAACAAAATATTTTATTAGTGCATTAAGCTTCTTGATACTGCTTTGAGAAGGTGATAGACTCTTGAAATACTTACTAGATCCGCATTCCCTTGGGGTTTAAGGGAATGACAATGACCAATCACTTCTGGAAAACTTCAAGTATAGTTAGGACTAAACAAAGAGTGGGTGTCAAATAAGTCAAAACGGCAGCTAAACAAATGATTCCAGGCAACTAACAACGTGAATGAGATTACGTTCTGTCTCTATCAGAGGTGAGTCACACAAAATATAACATACAAGCCAGGTAGTCCTCAACAGATTGTTTAGTGATTGTTCAAAGTTACAGCAGCACTGAAAAAAGTGACTTACGACTATTTTTCAGACTTATGACCAATGCGTCATCCCCATGGTCACGGGATCAAAATTTGGATGCTTGGCAACCAAGTCATATTTGTGATGGTTGCAGTATCCCAGGGTCATATGATCATTTTTTGGGACCTCCCAACAAGCAAAGTCCATGGAGAAGCCAGATTATCTTAACAACCCTGTTGCCAGGGGTGGGATTCTACTGGTTTGGACTGGTTTGGGCAAATCGGATGTTAAAGTTACAGCTGGTTCGCTGAACCGGTATTTCAACCGACTCCCCTCCCGCCTCTCCCCTCCCAGAAGTCTCCACACGGCCCATTTTCAATGGAGGTAAGTGCAGGGCCTCTGGGAGGGGGGGAAACGGACCTTCTGGAAGTCTGGAAATGGACCTGTTTCTGGTTTCAGGAGGGCCTCCAGAGCCTGGGGGATGCTATTTTCGCCCTCCCAGAGGCCCAGAGAAAGCCTCTGGACCCTTTGGAGGGTGAAAATGGCCTCCCCCAGGCTCTGGAGGCCCACCAGAAGCCGGAAACAGGATGTTCTGGTAGGCCCCGACCACCATGACCTGCGTAGCGAATTTGTTCCATACTAGCAGGCTTGAAGACCTGCATTCCTATTGGACCGGAAGAACGGGGCCGTGATTGGACGATGTAAAGCACTCGTGATTGGTCCGTAAGGGGCTTGCCGCAATTGGGTAAAACCAAGCGCGGCAAGCTCAAAAGTCTGTCATTGGCTGCCTAGCCGCGGGCAGCTCTATAAAAAGAGCTGCCGCGGCTAGGGTAATTGTCTCAGAATCTGGTTGCTTAATAAAGAGCTGTTGTTCACTACCTGAGCCTCGTCTTTCAATGGGACCCACCGACCATACTTAACAGAATTGGTTGCTGGGATTTTTGAATCCTACCCCTGCCTGTTACTAATTTAACAACTGTAGTGATCCACTAAACAACTGCGGCAAGAAAGGTCATAAAATGGGACAAATTCACTTAAGAAATGCCTCACTTAGCACCAAAATTTGGGGCTCAATTGCGATTGTACTTACCTTCTGTAGTAAGCAACCATATTTTCTCATTGGCATAAAAAAATGATGCTGACCCAGAAAAAATTAGGAGTTTTATGGAAAGAGCAAAATCCAAACCTATACAATGGCTGTATTGCCTGAACCCAACTTAAAGCTGCCTGTTTGGATTCTCCAGTTCTCAGGACAGGACTGCAGTATCTGAGCTACAAAAACCCAGAGGACAATACAGCAGCTAAGCTCTATGGAAATCTGAATTTTTCCTGCTACTATCTAAATTTTTGCAGCATGGGCCCCACGAAGTTCATGTTACTATGCAATCTGGCACATGAGGAAAGCTTCAGCGAAATTTTTCATTTTAAATTGTAGTCATATCTCTATAAAAAGAAATTAATTTTAGAGAAGGGAAAGATATTAAAAGCCCGGAAAAGGAGCAAGCGTGTCCCCAGAATTACAACAAAATAAATAAAGACAGTATAATCACCATAAATAAATAAAGTCTAATCACCAGTATATTGCACAAAACTAGCAGGATCTGAGACAATTTATGTGCAATGAGTGTTTTTTTGTACTTTGTATTTTCAGAAATCAGCTAATTACTCTTTTGATGTTACATATTATGATCTGGTAGGATCCCTAAGCAATTAACACTATCTGTGTGCAAACATTTAATTATAAAAATCATCACAAAGGGAAATAATAACTTCCATATATATTGGAAAGAAATCAAGTTCTGAAGTTTTATCACATCATTTGATGAATGATACTTAAACGAAGGTATGAAAGTTTACTATAGGTTATATTCCAGAAAAACTACACAAAATAGATCCAATGAGCACTAATAATATGGAAACAATTCTATCTGTTCATTGGACTTTCCCTATGTGTAGTGTCTTCTTGGTCAAATTTTGCATGAGATCATCTTTTGGGGGAAAAGTGAAGAAACCTCAACTGCATCAAATTGCAACTTTTTTCTAAACTTCATTGCTCGCTCGGTCTCCTCTTAACAAGTAAATATGATCTTACTGTGTTACCAACTTTCAAGACAGACATTTATTCTCAAGGCATTTCCATACCATTGCTTCCATTTAGCATTCCCACAAAACCGGCTTGAAGATGGCTCATTGTAATCTTCTCTTTTGACAACTCTGAAGCGTGGAGAACAGGAAGCAAAAAATGTCATTTAATTACTGCCCCACCCTTTGAAGGATTAGAATTACACATAACTTACACATAACTTCTTAGAATTATACATAACTCAAGTTATAGCATGCTAATAACTCATTCCAATGATAATAAATCATTTAAAACTGCATAACTGGATATTATTTCGCTATTTTAAAAAGCTGGGAAAAGGAGCTAGGGTTTGAACTACTATTTTCAACTACTTCTGTCACTTCTCTAATCCCCTGGTGATGATATGTGAAATTAAGAAAACGGGGGGCGGGGGGGGCGGAATGCAAGGGAAGTGACTCCTTAGTTGCCAATTCCTTATTAAACTTCCACTTATTTCTTGCAAAATGTCTATAAGGGGTTTTCCTCAGCGTCTGATTTTTGGATGACAAGATGGGTACATTTTTTGACACATGCCCAAAGGTCTTCTGGAAGATCAGTGCATAGATATCTGAACATATTAGTTAAAAGTTTAATTTGGTCAAAGAGTAGAGTAGGTAGTCCTAGGATAACAACCAATCATTTAAGGACTATTCAAACCTATGATGCCACTGAAAGAGGGGGACTTATGACTGGTCCTCAAAGTTGCAGCCATCGCACAGTGTCCGTGTGGTCATGTGATCATGAGTCTGACCTTGCCATCTGGTTCACAGTTATTATGGTTACACTGCCCTGCAGTCACACAACCACCATTTGTGACTCTTCCTACTGGCTTCCCCCAAGCAAAGTTAATGGGAAAAATGGCAAGAGATTGCAAGTTGCTCCCACAAGTCATTCCTGCTCTTGCCACTTTTTCTCCTGAGAAGCCTCAAGCAGCATGGGTATCTCATGCTCCATAGTTCCTGTCTGCCTATCCTCTATAGCAGTGATCCCCAACCTTTTTTGTACCAGGGACCAGTTTCATGCAGAAACACTTTTTCAAGGGGTGGGGGGAGAGTCCGAAGTTTGGTGGTTTGCTTGCAGACGTTTCATTACCTGACTAGGTAACATCTGATGTTGTTACCTAGTCAGGTAATAAAACGTCTGTCAGCAAACCACCAAGTTCAGGAAGCGCCAATGCCTCCTCATTGCAACCCTGAGTGACAGATATTCTCTTCTATTGGGACATTTAAAACGGAGGGTTTCAGCTGCAGATTCAGGAACTGCACCTGGCTGAGGAGCGCCTTCAAAACTGAGCGCTGGGCAGTGGCGGCCCACGGCTGTCTCCGCGGCTCAGGACTAGTCCCTGCAGGACGGCTGAGAAGCCCCGCCTCTCGGCCCTGCCTTCCTCAGCCTCATCCCTCAGGTGTCTCCCTCCCTCCCTCAGCCTCATCCCTCAGGTGTCTGCCTCGTTCCTCTCTCAGTCGCTCTCTCGCTCCTCCACCAGCCCAGGAAGAAACTGCTTCAAAGAAGCCGGCAGAGTGGCTTCCTGTCGGCGCAGCTCCTCCGAAGCGCCCGTTCACCCCCACACAGCCGCCCGCGGTTCAATCCAGAAAAAGAGGCGAATAGTTATTATTCTCAGCCAAAGCTGCTCCAAAACAACCAGAAACGAAGGCAGGCAGGCAGGCAGGCAGAACGGAGCACTGGATTAAACCACGGGCGGCTGGGTGGGGGTGAACGGGCGCTTCGGAGGAGCTGCGCCGACAGGAAGCCACCCTGCCGGCTTCTTTGAAGCAGTTTCTTCCTGGGCTGGTGCAGGAGCGAGAGAGCGACTGAGAGAGGAACGAGGCGGGAGGAAACCGAAGCCGCTGAGCCGGAGAGCAGGACAGGCTTTGGTTGCTTCCTCCCTCCCCTTCTCTCCTTTGTGTTCTTGATCCCTGATCCCAGCAGCATTCACCGAAGGCGAAGAAAGCCGCCATTTTTATTTTATTTTTTATTTTTATTTCTTTGCGGCCCGGTACAAAGTGATCCACGGCCCGGTACCTGTCCGGGGCCCGGTGGTTGGGGACCCCTGCTCTATAGCAGGGCTGTCAAACCCCAAGCCCGTGGGCCGGATGCTGGTCATGCCCGCACCTGGTTTAGCAAAGGGAGAAAAAGTCCCGATACATCATGTGACGCTGCCATAACGTGAGTTTGAAACCCCTGCTCTGTAGCACTTGCCCACCACACCTGTCTACCCTGGTCTGTTTTCACTCTGCA